TGTGTGTGTGTGTGTGTGTGTGTGTGTGTGTGTGTATGTGTTTCTGGGGTGGTAACCCAGGGCCTCACATAGGCTAAGGGGTTGCTCTACCATTAAGCTATATCCCCTGCCCTTAATATCTCTTTCATTCTCTACTTCCAGTTGCTTTAGGCATCTAGTTGTATGTGGTCCTTATCCCATCTCCTAAATTTCATACTACTTTCAATAGAAAGAAATGATCAGAAATAGTACCTTTTACCACTTAGAGTCTTCAGTGACCTGCTTAGACATTCCTGGTCAAGGGAATCTTAGGGCAAGACTTGAAGATAGGGAACTTTATGTATGCTAAACAGAATAAAAATAATTGTACCTCCTTCCCATGTGGGAGAGCTGTAACTGCCATATTTAGGATTCATAGTCCCACTTTGGTCAAGTGCTTTACTGAGTGTAAATCATTGGTAACATTCTTCATAGCCATCCTTGGGAGGTAAGAGTTCCCTATTATAGGACCATAGTACACAGTTCTTATTTGTCCATACATACGTTACCTATTCTGTGGGTTACTTAAAATAAGACCTAAGTTCTGCACTGCTTTTTTTCTTGTCACTCAGGATGCCTATAGTCACAGCATTCTCACTTGTATCTATTGGTATGTGTTCTGAAATCAAATTGGTCTTGATATTTTTATAAACTAAGCTAAACATTTAGGAATGTTAGTTATCCTATGTAATTGTATATCATTCCAGAGCATAAATCAGCAGGGATTATGTTTTCCCTGCCTTCCTCTTTTTCTGGATTTAATTAATAATTGACTCAAATAATTGGGCAAATAGCATCAGGAAAAGCTGTTTGGGTTAGGAGAGTCTATATTTAGCCTGTGTTGGAAGGTGAAGTATTTGTAGATATGGATCTTTGTTACAAACTGAAAGAATATTGTCTAAGTGTTCTAAGAACATGAAGGAAAACTATTAAGAAATATCCAGAAAGTTGAAAATACAAAATTTATCCTGTGGACGGTAATAATTGGTTCATTTTTATGAGATTCACTGTTCTTTTTTAAAAAAAAATTTTTTTATTTAATTGATTTTATTTTTTTAAATACACGACAGCAGAATCCATTATAATTCTTATTACACATAGAGCACAATTTTTCATATCTTTGTATATAAAGTATATTTATGCCAATTTATGTCTTTATAAAATGTACTTTTTTTTTTTTTAGTGCCCTGAAAGTGATTTACCTTAATGGTACCCCAGTGACTTTAATGAGATCTATTATGCATTTTATTGCAAACATCGTCATGTTTGTCAAATAGCCCTAAGCATTGTAAGGCTGTTTGATCAGTGGCTAAATAGTGGATTGGAAACACATACATTTATTTTTGTTAAGTAGATACTGACAGAAAATTTCAACTAACTGAATTAGATCAAGTCCGTGAAAAGGAGGGACTACATAATTAGTTAAAATGAGAAAGGCAAATATTCTGTTTCCCTAAACAGAAGGTATAACTTTGAAAGTGTTTATACTTTGCATGCTGGATTGTGGCATAGATTTATTATTTGCAGCTAATAAAAAGGTAGAGAGGCACAGGTTATCTGAGATGGTTGATCATTGAACATACATTGCCAGACATGGATGTTTTGTGCTGATCTAAATGAAGAGATAGCAAGTGCGTTTTTTTATGTAGTTGAATTTTTGAGGACTTGGCACTTTAATGGATTGTTTGAAACCTGCAAGTTTTCTTTTCTTTTTTTTTTTTGTTGTTTGTTTTTTATGCCTCCCTTTTAAAAGTCTTCCCACCATTTCTTTTGTTTGTGAAGCTGCCACTCTATGTTGGTTATACATGTTTTACATCATCATTGTCAAGGGCTCTGGCATAAAGATAAGAAATTAATTTTGCCTTTTTGCAGGGGAATGTCATTTTGGCCTATTTGTGAAAAGGTAGGGCTCTTACTCTAGCCCTCATACGAAACCCTCCAGCATTACTAAGTATTACAGGGAAAAAGTGACTTTCCACTCTATCAGAAGGATACCCTGTTCCTCTGTGTTCTTTTGTTTCTTCATCAATAAGAGAATTATTAGCCTTTTTTCCCAAAGGAATTAGAAAGCAAAAATTTAATGAAGATAGCTCAGTTTAGAGAAAAAAACAAACTGCCTGTATACTCGTGATTCCCACCAACTGCTGAGTTGCTTTATTCAGTTACTTAGTTACTACTTACTGGGAGGTGGTTGCAGCAAGTGTTTTCAGGGTCTTAATTTGTCTTATGCTCTAATGTCCTTTTAATAGGGAAGATTGTAGATTTGATGTCCCAATGTTGTATTAGGGGAGGGAGCCCCATTCAATTTCAGGCGCTGTACTAGACATTGAGAATCAAAGAGAAAAATGGCAAAGTTCCATCCTCAGTCTAGAAGCAAACATGTAAGTAGATAATTAAAATATAGTGTGATGTGAACATGAATGAAAGTATTCTGGTTTTTTTTTTTTTATGTACAAGGAATTAAAATAGCAGAGAAACAGGAATGGGATTCCAAAGGTTTCAGAAAGGAAGTGATATCTCAGCTAGACTTTGACAGATGAAGAGGGAATTTTCAACAGTAATGGGGCAGGATTCCAGGATGAAGAACTAGGATGTTAAACCTTTCTTCTGAGGAACTGAAAGCCAGGTTTTTAAAAATACATTGTTGTTACAAAACAAAAAGAACCACATGATCCTCTTCTTTAAACACTTTTTATTATGGAAAAACTGGAACAAAATGTGAAGTATGTAGAGGAAGGTTAAGAGCCCTCATTTGTCTGTCACCCACTGTCAGCATTTGACATTCATGTTCCACGGTGCTCTTCCTGACTTGATTTATTGTAGTGATTTATTCTTTTAAAGTAGTTTGTAGACACTGAGATGTACAAATCTTAAATGCTTTTCCTGATGAGTTTCACTTTTACCCTCTGATTTGTTTTCCATTATTCTGATATTTTCACCATAAATTAGTTTTGCCTTTTCTAGCACTTTACATATGAAATTAAGCAACATATTTTCTATTGTGTCTAGCTTCTTTTGGTGAGCATATTGTCTGATATTCATCCAAGTTCTTTTTTATTCCTTTTTATGTCATTTATCCACGTAGTTTGTCCTTCCTATTGCTGAGTGGCATCTCACTGTGTGACTACCATTGTTTATTGTGTTTCTTGTACTGATGTTCATTTGTTTGTTTTCCATCTTTGGCTATTATGAATAAGGTTGCTGTGAACAAATCCTATGTGGACATATTTTCGTTTCTTTGGGATAAATACTTAGGGGTGGAATTCCTGGAGCACAGGGCAGATGTATATATAACTTTCATTAAGCTGGAACTGCCAAACCTTCCAGAATGATTCTGCCACTTCGTGTTCCCACCAGCACGTAGGAGAGTTTCAGTTGCTGCTTCTTGCCAGTATTTGGTGTTGTCAGTTGTTGATTTTAGCCATCTTAGTGATGTGTTGGGGTATCTCATTGTGTGACTCACCCCCCACCCCCATGCTAGATATTGAACCCAGGAGTGTTTTACCACTGAGCTACATCCTCAGACCTTTTTATTTTTTATTTTGAGACATGGTCTCCCTAATTTGCTGAGGTTGACCTCAAACTTGCCATCCTCCTGCCTCAGCCTCCCAGGGAGTGGGGATTGCAAGTTTGTGTTTCTATGCCAGGTTCATTGTGGTTTTAATTTTCACCTCCCTGATGAGGACTGAAGATGAACACTTTTTTGTGTATTGATCACTGGTGTTTCTTCTTTGTGAAGTGTTCAAACCACTTGTTCATTTTCCTTATCTATTTGTCTTTTTGTTCATGAACTTTAGTCTTTTTAAATCTGGATATAAATCCCTTACCAGATGTAGGTATTGCAGTTTTTCATTTCTTACTTATTTTTCTTACTGTGTTATTTAATTTTGAAAAATGTCAAATTATCAGGAAGGTTTTTAGTTGTCATTTATAGTTACTTCTTCTGTACTATGTTTAAAAAATTATTTGCCTGTCACAAGATCAGGAATATATTCTGTTTTCTTTTAGAGGGCTTATAGATTTAGTTTTTATGTGAAGTTAAAAATCTGTTTTAAACTAATTTTTCCATTTAGGGTGAAGGTCAGGGTTCATTTTTTTAACCTTATGGGTAGTTCATGATTTCTCCACCATTTGTTGGAAATACTTTCCTTCCTTATTGAATTGCTTTGGCACTTTTGTCAAAATCATTTGTGCTTATATCATGGATTATTTCTGGACTTCTTATTCTCTTCCTTTTGCCAGCAACACACTGTTCTGATTACTTATAGTTAAAATCAGGTAATAGAAATACTCCAACTTATTATTCCAGTACTGTTTTAACTACTCCAGGTTATTTGCATTTCCATGTATATAGAATCTAAAACTCTAGAGTCAACCTGTTTTTGCTTTTCTAAAACCCTCTCAGGAGTATTTAGAAATTATGAATTTATTGGTTACTTTAGAAGGAATTTTAACAGTAAGCCATTTTATCACCATTGAATTATCCAGTCCATGAAAATGTCTTAACCCTGAAGTTATTTAGGTTTTGTTATCTCTGAGCAATGTTTTCTTAAAACTTTAAGCATAGAGGATCTTTTGTGGTATGATTTTAATTTTTTTGGAGGGGAAAAAAGTACCATCCCACAATGTTACTTGTGCTTCTCTTTGAATAGAGAATTCGTGACTGCTTTATGCGTGCATGTATGTGCACACACACTTCTTTTTCCTCTTGGGTGTTTTCTGAATTTCCTGCAATGATCATGTTTGATTGTTTTTTAAAACATGTTTATTTTATTTATTTATTTTTTATTTTTATGAGGTGCTTGAGGATTGAACCCAGTGCCTCATGCATGTGAGGCAGCACTCTACCACTAAGCCACAACCCCAGCCCCATGTGTATGTTTTATAGAAGAAAACAAAGTAAAAAGGAAACTGATGTAAATTGTGTATTGAGCTGTTTAGTCACAATTCATGATAAATGTTGATTTTTGGTTACTATTGTAGCTTTCTCTACAACTAGGGTGCTTATTTTTTTTTTTGCTTATAATGTATTTGTGTATAGGTGCTTAATGAATGATCTCTAGTGATGTCGTTCAAACACTATAATCTGTTTTTTATAGGCCCTAAAATACATAGGGAATAAAGTAAGAAGGCAAAGGATGTGGGGAGGTGGACCAAAGAAAACCAAAATAGAAGAAGCAAGAGAGCTCCTGGCTTCTACCATCCTGACCCATGTTCCAGTGAGTAACACTTTTGTAGTAAATAATGATAATTATGGAATCTGTGAATTTCTGCTAAGGCAAAGGATGTGGGGAGGTGGACCAAAGAAAACCAAAATAGAAGAAGCAAGAGAGCTCCTGGCTTCTACCATCCTGACCCATGTTCCAGTGAGTAACACTTTTGTAGTAAATAATGATAATTATGGAATATGTGAATTTCTGCTAAAGAATTGTAACTAGGAGTTGTTGCTATTTAACAGTTTGTTCTGAAGAGCGACTCTAAAAAGGACTGTCCTACCCTACCAATTACCAGAAGTTGTGTTCAGAATATCAGGTACACAGTTGCCATCATGATGTGTGTCATCTGGTAGTTCTTCTTTCAGTCTTACTGTTACTTTATATTCATATGATTATAGTGCTACTAATGACTGACTTTATGGCTTCAAAGGACAGCTCTGCTGACCTACCTGTTTTTAAAGGAAGGCAAGCTTATGGTTCTTTCCCACGTATTTTTTATTTAAGATTACAAAATATAAAGAAGTTTACTGTTTTAACTGTGAAATATATTCACACAATTGTACGAACATCACTATAATAGATGATTGGGTATATTCTACGGAGTGGGATAAAATAGATAGTTTTTGTTTGTTTGTTTTTAATTGTTGATGGACCTTTATTTTATTTGCTTATTTATATATGGTGCTGGGAATTGAACCCAGTGCCTTGCATGTACCAGGCAAATGGTCCACCACTGAGCCACAACCCCAGCCCTAAAATAGATAGTTTTTAAATGCTTTTTTGACAAATAAATCTCCTAAACCTTGAATATTAAAATTTATGTTGTCCAGCCTTCTTCACTTACAGCCAAAGCAAGAGATCAGGGTATCTGCTTGGACAAGAGACGATTCCTGGCCAATTAAGCTGGATGATTTGCCTTATCATCCCACATATTAGTGGTCAGAGGACTGGAAGCAACCTCTGATCCTTGAACTAGTGCATAGTAGTTATTTTTTATTAAACAGATTAATTAATTAAACAGATTAGCCATATTGACATGTGGCCTTTTGACAAGAATCACTCTCTCCCCCATTTAATACATGTGCTGCTTTTTATAAATCAGTTACTATATGTACCTTCATGAATGATCTGATTCAGGGGTTGCAGACTATCTTTAGAGCCTGATTTTAATGCTGGAAGATCAAGAGATCTGTGAAAGTGGAGAGTAGCCACAGGAGCACATTCACAAAACACCTTGTGAGCATACAACACAGGTCCCTGATTCAGCCCTTTGACTGCAGAGTGTCCTTGATCTAATCCAAAGAATTGGAAAATTCTTAATGTTAAAGCTGGGTCTGAACTGAATTTTAAGCTCTTTGGGATGATTGGAAAGATGGATTGAAACTGAATTGCCATTTTGAAAGTTTATTTAAACATAATGTTTTGAAGAATAGTCACTTTAGATGAACCAGGAAAATTACCTTCATTTTCCAGGATGGTTTAGGACAGTATTTATCTAAGTGTGATATAAAAGATGATTTTATGTGAGACAGGACATTTTGATTTAATTATGTATATATTTGAATGCAAGTAGCACATCCCCTTGGGCACAGTGGTGCACACCTGTAATCCCAGCAGCTCAGGAGGCTGAGGCAGGAGGATCATGAGTTCAAGGCCAGCCTCAGCAACCCAGCAAAGCTACAAGCAACTCAGTGAGACCCTCTCTCTAAATAAAATACAAAAAGGGCTGGGAATGTGGCTCAGTGGTTAAGTGCCCATGGGTTCAATTCCTGGTACCAAGAAAAAGAGCAGATCCCTTTTTTTGTGGTTTTTGACTTTTTATGTTATTACAAAGGATGAAGTTTACTTTGAAATGAGTTATTTAAAGATGATTAAAAATATTAAATAAATAATTCTTACAGAAATAAAGCAATACTCTCAGTGCTGGAACCTGAACAACTAAATTATGGAAAAGCACTGGTTTAGATGTATCCACTAAGAGTGAGAACGATGGGAAGGACATCCAGCAGTTCTGGCCCATGTTCTTGAGGGTAGTCTACAGAGGAACTTCTACTCGATACCCTTATCTGTAAATTCTTTGAGAGTTGAAGTTCTCAAAGAGCATTTCCTTTGCCAGTAGCATCACCATTATCTGGGAACTTGCTAGAAGTACTGTAACTCTACCCAGTACTTACTGAATCTGAATCAGAAACTCCAGGGTAGGGGTTTGTGTATTTTAACATGTCCCGCCACAACCCTGCCAGGTGATTCTTATGTATAGGATAGTTTGGCTCCAAAACTCCTCTTTCCTTCAAGGGTAGTGTTAGAACTCCAAGAGTTCTGTTGACAGTAATTCTGTTTTAGTATTTCAAGTTTTTTGTTAGTTCTTTCTCTCCTACTTTTGGATAATCCATTTTTTTTTCAAACTGTATCCAGCTTTATTAAAGATGCTTTTCATAAACAATCATGTTATTTCAGGCAGGACACGGGCAGACAATCATTAACAGTATACAACAACTTTCAAACTCCCTTCTTGGATGGACTACCAAAATCAGAAAGCCACTATAAAACCCAATGAAGTCTTCATTTGATGCTCTGAATAGGGAAAGTTTATAGTGAGGGTTGACATTTCACATTTAGCATGTTGTTTAATAACTTTTCACAAGCTGACCCTGACTTTCAGGAAATGAAAGGAAAATGGCAAAAATTATTAATCTGAAGATCCACAATCTAGTAAAGGGACTGCTGCTCTTCTGAGGGACACTATTCTCAATGACGTCACTGGAAAGTCCAGATTGCCCCACACACTAGTAAAACCAGTCTTTGGGAATCAGGTCCCAGCAGGTCTGAGTTTAGGAGAGTTAAGTCTATGCCGATGGCAGAGGGACAGGAGGACGTATAGATGAGTTTGAGTTTTTCCATAGCATTTGTGCCAAGGTGGCTATGTGTGCCAACATCAGGGAATCCCTTCCTCTTGGGAACAAAGAGGAAGTCTCTCAAAACTAGAAAGGAAAGGTGTTTTCCCCCACAGCAATCCAGCTTTGGAGACATTCTACTAGTGACATATGCTCCCCCCGCCAAAACAACAATGGAGTGTTCTGTGTGCTAACAACATAGCTTAAAACAAGTAAAACAAAATTCTGCATTTTTATAAAACTTGATAAAAAATAGTATTTCAAACTGTACAGTCACCAGAAGTACACAGTTACCAAAAACGCACACACTTCACTTGGCATCTCCAGCGCCTCAGCTGTCTGTGCCTGGTCTGTTTGGGCATCTCCATTTTCTGCAGGGTTATTCCCATCCTTGCCAGCGTAAGCTTTTCCCTTTTTCCCTTTGGGTACCTTCTCTCCCTTCTTTGCAGAGGCCTTTTTAGGCTTGGGCTCTAGCTTTGGAGGAGCAAGTTTGGCAGACAACCTTGCAGATCTTTTCTGTAGTTCGTCTTTCACCTTGACTTTGTCCCCTTTAGCATCCCCTTCAGCCTTTCTCTTGGGCAACGGTGGCGACGGTGGTGGGACGTAGGCGCTGGACATGGAGATGCAGCGGCACGCGGCTTTGGTTGGTCTGGGGGTCATTCTCGCTTCTTCTTCTTCACACTGCTCAGGCTCCAGGGGGTTTATAAAGTTTTTATAGCACTGGAGATAATCCATAAATTAACATCCCACAATTATTGGTATTCTACCAAAAAGTGATGACAGCTACTAGATAGATGAGTGTTCCCACTCACAGTATGCCTCAGAAGAGTCCTAGAGAAATGGTTCCTGTGGTTTACAAGGCTTCACCTAAAATTGGAGAGGGAGTTCTCATTTTAGGCCTCTCATGAGGTTGCAGATAGATAGCAGTTAAGACTGGAGTGAGCCAGAGGCTCCACTGGACATCCGAGATGGCCCCCTCATTTTCATCAGAGCTCCTCAGGCACTTACATGTGGCCTTTCCTCCCACTATACTGTTTGGACGTCTTTTGTGATATCTCAGGACTCTATGAAAAAGGAAAGGAGGTGAAGATTGCAACTTTATTTAAGAGCTGGGGCCAAAACTAGTTTGGCATAATTTCTGCTATATTGTGTTCATCAGACTAATCACTGCCAATCCAAAGGGGATAGATGTGTGATAAGCTCCACCTCAAATGAAGGAGTGGCATGAGATAGGCAAGAAGGGAAAGAGTTGATAGTGGCCATCTTTGAAGAAATGTTGTCCAGGTACTAAGTACAAAGAAAAAAAGTTAACCATCTACCTCTTGGGAACTTTCTAGACTAGTGGAATTTCTTTGAATCAAGAGAATCATAATAACTCAGTGCTTTCTTATTTGAATGATATAATGATTCTTTGGGCATCTTAAATTTTAGCTTTAGCTTACATTGTCTCTAAATTTTTCTATAATTTCTGAATTACAGGTTAAGGAATTCAATTTTCGAGCCAAATGCATCTATACTGCAGTGATGGTCCGAAGAGTTATTCTGGCCCAAGGAGATAACAAAGTTGATGACAGAGACTATTATGGTAATAAGCGGTTGGAATTGGCAGGACAGGTGAATTAATTATTTTATCTCAGAAATCTTATTTCCTTTAATAAAAATTAGTTTGCAGGGGATGCTGGGGTTGTGGCTCAGTGGTAGAGCACTCGCCTAATAAATGCAAAGCACTGAGTTTGATCCTTGGCACCACATAAAAATAAATAAATAAAATAAAGGTGTTGTGTCCAACTACAAGTAAAAATATATACATATAAATTTTTTTAAATTAGTTTGGTATTCATTTTAAGTAGGAGAAACAGACATTTAAATGGAATATAGGTTGCACATGTTTGAAATATAAACTTTTCATACAGGAATTGCTTTATTTTCAGCTTAAGAATTTCCTTATGAAAAATCAACATTAATTCTTTAAATATGTTGATTCCCTGTAATGTTTGAAGTGAAATATGACTTTAATATCATGTATTCAATTAACAAATATGTATTAAACAACTATTATGATCTAGGCATACTCCTATGTACTGGTTATAAGAGTAAGACAGAAAAAGATCCCTTTACTCTTATTCCTTATATTTTAGTGGGACACAGAGAATAAACAAGTGAACCTCCCTTTATCTCTTGTTGGAAACATGATAGAAAAGTAGGTTAGTGAGAATGTCTATAATTTCATTTTAAGCCCTAACTCATAAATGCCATCTCATTTTGAGAGTGTATATCCCTTTTACTGGGTAGCAAGTATCTGATAATCTTTGAAACTTTATATCTCGGCATTTGAATCACAAATTACCATTAAATTAAAGATCTAGAGTAGAAACCCACCTGTTATGGACATGTTTTCTTTTTCCTTGGTTTTTTTAAGTACCTTGGTATGACTGCCTCTGTTGTTATCCTGTGTAGTAAATATTTTTTTAATCAAATTTGTGGGCTTTATTCAAATATCTTTTTTTTGTTGTTGTTCTATTCTGTTTTCCTTTCCTTCTGGCTCTAATTATTAGAACTTTTGATATAGATGTTCTATTAATTAATTTTTTCTGTTCAAATTGGGTGATTTCTCTTGATCTATTGTCAAGTTTACTTGCTCTCTTTTATGTCATATATTGTTATATATATCCAGCTAATTTTTTGATCTATTTTTCAATTCTAGAAATTTCATTTGAATATATTTTTCAGAGCTTGTTTCTCTAGTGAAATGTTTTCTTTGTTCATACATGACAACCATACCTTTATTTATATCCTTGAATTTTTTAATGTCTGCTTTAAAATCCTAGTCTGCTAATCCTATCATTTTGGTGTCAGTCTTTTGATTTGCTTTCCTCTTGAGTATGGATCATGTTTTTCTATTTCTTGCTATGTTTGTTATTTTGGATTGTATCTTGATAAAGTGTTTGAGTGTTGATGGTGAGGAAAAGCATTGCTTTTGTCAGTATAATCAGGGAAGGTCTTCTGGAAAAAATGATGTATTTTTAACAAGCCTTCAGATGTTCAAGCAGAAACTTGAATGATGAAAAGCCAACCTCATGCAACCTGGGGAATTAAATTCCATCAAGAGAGACAAGCAGGTGCACATCTTCCAAGGCAGAAATGAGTTTAGGGACCAAAAAAACTGAAAAGGGTCAACGTGGTTGGGGAGAGTGAGGTGAGGTGTGAGATAATATTGGAGACATAGACAGAGACTGGATTATCTAGAGCCCTGTAGGCCATGGAAGGGAATGTGGATTTAGTTTTACTTGGAGTAGAAAATGATGGGTGGTGGGGTTTAATCAGGGGGCTGATATGATTGAATTTTAGCTTAAAAGATCTGATTTAGAGACAAACAAGACGAGTGGATTCGCTAGAAGGTGGTAGCAATATTCCAGATGAGAAGTGGTGGCAGCTGGGGTAACAGCAGACACTACGACAATTAAAATTAAGAATTAGAATTCAGAAGTTATAGCAAGTTTTGTAGCCCGTGCAGTGGCACATACCTGTCATCTTAGCTACTCAGAGGCTCAGGCCAGCTTCAGCAGTTTAGCAAGGTCCTGTCCCAAAATGAAAAATAAAGAGATCTGGAGTGATGTAGCTCAGTGGTAAAGTGCCTGTGGGTTCAATCCCTCAAAAAGAAGTTATACCAAGTTTTGGTTTGGGGACGAATTAGTGTCTACTGGACTCTAGGGAAACTGTTTGGTAAGAGCAGATGATTGACAAGTCTGCTTTTGATCACATTCTTATTAACCGTATTGCTGGGGTTTATGGTGGTGGTATCCTACTACCAATGCCAATTTTTAACTTTTTTAATTGGAAAAAAAAGTCATGCTGTTAAATGAGTCTATGAAAAAGAAGTTGATTGTCTAGAGGAATAAGGAATGGAGTAGGGTGAGGGGGAAAGGAGACTATCCTGTTGCTTAAGAAATTAGAATTAAGAAGAGGGTTCCCTTGTGCAAGAAAACATAGCTTTATAAACAATGTAAAGACATAAAAGGCATTGTGTTGGCAAAAATGTGTAAAAACAAGAGCTGCTAATTTCACACCCCATGGGATGAGGGAGTATAAATGTGCTTCAGCTTTAGATAACAGAGTTGTCTCTATTGGCTCAGCCGGTTCACAGAGCTTTTCCTCAGTCTTACTGCCACCAGAGGGTTGGCAGGCCAGCCGCCAGTAGAGGTGTTAGCAAAACCTACCGATTTCAGGCTTAATCTTTTCACCTACCTTTTCTTTTTCGGTAATGTGTTCATTATTTGCTGCACATTACTCTATTCTTTGTCTGAAAATTTTTTTGTTTCTAATGCAGCTTGCTTTGTATGGGTGAGATATGGAATGGCACCAAAATCCGGCACCCTGGAAAGCCAGGGATTTCCACCCTGTGACAAAAGAATGCCGTCTTGACTTCAGAGATTGCCTAATCCCAGCTGTTCTGATAATGTAATTAAGGCTGCCTAATGTCTTTAATTTTGCAACCAGTTTATGTGAAAAGGAGAATTTGGCACTCTGAAGGCTTAAACACTAAATAGCAATCTCAAGACGCCTAATTAGAATTCTCTGACATTAAGCTAATTGGTGAAACTGTATTTCAGCAGCTTAACTTCTTTATTAATTTTTTTAGCATTTTCATTGAAAATCAATTGATGAGCTGTCAGCATATTTTCCTTAAATTTGATTTGCTCAATAGTGCTCCTGTCTTAAGCAGACAGAAAGGCCTCAAACTAGCAATGAAAGGTATTCAATATTATCACCAGCATTCCATCCCTTTTAATCATTTTCTTCTTGACCTAAATAATGTGGTTTTTTTGGTGTGTCTTGGCCTTGTAATTTCTCACTGCTCTGGTAACTGGACAACATTATTTCTCCTAAATTGAAAATGTAAGAGTGGAGAAAGTTATTAATGAGGCAGTTTTTCTGTTGACTGTGCTCTTAGTTTTCACTTGTTTGGTACATTTCCTTGCGTTTGAATTAGGTGGCTGCAACAAATTCAGCTGGGATCCAAAAAAAAACTTTGTCATAATTTGAGACAAAAGTGTCTAAGTGTAGGGAACTAATTAAAAGAGAACTGAGCTTTTGTGGTGTAGGTTAAGGGCATTTGATTCTGTTCAGGATGCTTATTCAAGTTCTTTTTGCCAGTTTCCACAGGAAGTGGCTGGAATGGGCTTCTTCATCCCCTCTCACCCCTCTGCACCTGCTTCCATTCCTATATTCTTTCTTTCCATGAGTGAAACTGCTGGGTCTGACTGTAAGAAAGGATTAAGCTCTCAGAGGAGGAAGTTTTCTTTTTAGAACACTCCAACAGTAAATTCAAGTCCCAGATCCTAGCTCCCCTATCTGCAAAGTTGATTTTAATAGAAAAATGGAAAGATATGTCTAGTTTAAGGAGGAAAAGCATAAAATTTAATCCCATTTAAGAAATTCTTTTTCAGTACTAACTAGAGGGGAAGACTTATTTACTTTGAATATATTCTTCATTGAGAATCAAAATTATATTGTTCATTGTAAACGTTCACAAATGTCAGTATGGAATTTGGCAAATCTTTAGTTTAAATTTCACTGAATATCAGAATTCTTCTTTATGTTTATAATTAGTATAAATGTAATATCCCCATAGTACTGTCATGTTTTATTAGTTAATTTAGATCAGATCACAAATATTTTGAGCTTTTTTTCTTGCTCTGTAAAGAAAAAAAATAATGCTTACAAAGGAAAGAATAGGAGCTAGCTAGTACAGTTAATTTTCAGGGGGATTTATTATTTGTAATATCTATTATGTTTATTATTAAACAAGTGTGCCCATTTTTTATTTCTGGTAAGCCACCTTCTTAGTTTTTCTTCTTTGTGAATTTAATGTAGCTGTTGTTCTGGTTATCTGTTGCTGTGTTACAGGCTATCCCAAAACAGTGGCTTAAAACAACCAGTTTTCTTAGACTCCACGATTTTGCAGGTCAAGTGCTCAGGCAGGACTTGGCTATTTGATACTTCTGTTTTGGGTGTTGTTGAGAAAGGTCACGGGTAGTATTCTGCTATGAGACTCCAGGGAGAGCTGAAGGTGAGGTTTAGTGAGGACCTGGCCTTTCCAGTGTTGTATCAGGGTGACTCAGTACTCCTGAGAGTGAGCAAGACAGAAACTGCATGACCTTAGTGCCTAGTCCTCAAAGTTACACACCACCACTCATCTTATCCTGTGGATCAAAGTAGTCACAACTCCCCCACCGTGTATTTGGATCTTTGGAGTACATGAGGCACATCTTTCAATGTGTATGGAGTTTAGGAGTCAGCTAGATTTGGGTAAAGTTTATATACAGAATTCAGGGGTTTCTTTGTGTGGTTCTCTCATTTCTGAGATTTCCCTTTACTTTCCAGCTACTCAAATCCACTAGCTCTGGTTCTTCATTCAGTATTATTCAGTGATACTCACGCTTTAATTTTTGCCTTCTAGTGCCTTCAAGGAGTTTTAAATGTTTTGCCCAGACTTTATTATCTGTAGGGGAATCCATCTATTAGAAACTATTACACAATTCTGGAAACAGACCATCTTACACTGTTTCTGTAAATTCCTGTTTTCATCTCATTGATTTGGCTTTCATGACCAT